TCTCAACCCACCTTAAATGTCCCTTCCTATGGAGATCACCATTATCCTGACTTTAATGTTAATCACCTCTTTGGTCTTATAAAACTAGTTTTACCATTTCTATGTGATACCTAAATCAATGTAATTTAGTTTTTATAAAAATCACAATTGTCCTCTTAATATTTCTTCAGTATTATGATTGTACAGTGCATCTGTGTTGTATGCTAGGTTCAGTCGTGTTTTGATTGCTATAGAATTATTCTACCTATGAGTATTCTCTGACTCATTTTTCTGTTATACTGGTGGTTGACTTTTGGTGGTTTCCACTTCTTAGCTATTCTGAGCAGTGCTGCTATGAGTCTACATCCTTGTACCCTTTTATGCAAGCTTTCTAGAGTATACATCCAACTAAAATTGCTGGGATCTTGGGGGAAATTGCTTGTAATGTGTAGCCACATGTGCTAAGTACTGTATAACCTGAGGCAATACCATTTCTGTGGATATCAATATGAATGGAGTCTTTAGAGTTATAGAAGATGACTTTGATAGAGAAGGTGTAACTTTAGAAGAAAATGCCAAACTGTTTTCCAAAGTGATTGTACCAATTTATACTCCTCATGAGCAATGTATGAAAATCCCTATTTTCAACATCCTTTTTGCCAGTATAGTTGGAGAACTATTGTATTTTTGTATCCCTGATTAGAAGTTGAGTATCTTTTATTTACTTATTGGACATTTCTATTTCTTTTCGAAGCATTTGTGCCTTTAGCCCATTTAACTATTAGATTATGTTTTTCTGAGTAAATTGTAAAGAGCTATTATTCTGGACATGAGCCATCAGGCAGTTATGTGTGTATAAATGTCTTCTTCCATTCTGAGGCCTGTCTTTTCATTTCTGGTTTCTTTCAATGCACAGAATAACAATTTGGGGAGTAGGCGATACTGGGAATTGAACTTAGGAGTACTCAGCAACATTAATTTTAATGTAGAGAAAGATATGGTCTTTATAGGTAGTGTTCTTTGTGGCTTATGAAAATTTGCCCTGGTCTTAAATTGTGAAGTTATTCTTCCATATTACAGCATAAGTTTTCCTTTCACATTTAAACCTAAAGTTGATTAATATTTGAATGTGGCAAGAGTAAAAGACTAGTTCATATTTTACCAAATGCATATCCAGTTGTGCCAGCACCATTTAGTGACAAGTCTGACCTTTCCCATTGTTCATAGTGGTGCCTCTGTCATAGACTACTACTACTACAACTACTGTTATTGGGCTTTTCTGTTGTTTTGGTCCATTTGTGTCTTCCTGTACTACTACCACCTTGTTTTAGTTATTATATGGCTTTAAAGTAAACTTTGTCATACTGCTGAAGACTTCCCAGCCCTTGGATTTCTATGTACATTGAATCTACAAAGCTACCCACATACAACCTTTTGGATTTTTAATGAGCTTTCATTAAAAACAAATTAGCATGGGAGAATAGGCATCTACACTGTTGGGTCTTCAAACATGGCATAGCTTTCCATTTGTTTAGTCTCTGAATTTATTTTAAAAGTTGCATAATTTTCATATAGAGGTGGTTATATGAATAGTACTTGAAGTCTTATGCATTTATAAATTACCATTTTCATTTTTTCATTGGTGAGGGAATAGAGAACTAAAATTGATTTAAAAAAATTTGTATCCATCAACCTTGCTTAAAAAAAGAATTCTAATTCTAGCAATTTATTTTGCATCTAATGTTCATATCATCACCTGTATTTATATGTAACTTTTCTAGAGTTTTTAGAATTTAAATTGCTGGATCAGAGGGGGAAAGGCCTGTGTAGCCACATGGGCTGGGCACTGAACAAGCCTTGTTGGTGATGTGATTTGGCAATATTTAAATACAAATATTTAACAGTTTTGACTTTTTTTTAACATGGGCTACAATAGTGTTGAAGTGATAGGAAGCAGCTTTTTCTTAATGTAATATTTGTTAAGATTTCTGTTTATATGAACAGTAAGTATTCTTGGGTGTATCTTTTTACTTATACATTTGTATGTTTGAGCTTTTGGAAACAGCATATATAGCTATGCCTTTTACTTTCATGCTCTTTGGTATTCTAGATTTTATAAAAAATGTTTTTTGTTTTTTTTAGTTTTAGGACACAATATTTTATTTATGTGGTGCTGAGAATCAAACCCAGTGCCTCTGACATGCTAGGTAAGTGCTCTACCACTGAGCCACAACCCCAGCCCCCGATATTCTAGATTTTAACAGTGTATTGTGATTACAGATATTTATAGAAGCCCTTTGGCCATCTTTTTTATATTCTCTCACATTTTCTGTGCTTTCCTCCCCACTATTGGGGAGGGGGTTAATTTTGCTTTTTCACTATTGATTTGGAAGTTTTATATTTTAACTTGGTGGGTTTTCTGTTACTTTATGTTCTTGGTTAAAAATTTTAACATATTGTCAGTTGAGAGAAACCACATTGCACAGGTAACTAAACATGAAAAATTTACTAAAAGGTGGCTAACTATTTAAAAAGAGGTAAGAGAATACTCTTGGACACACTGTAGCATCTTTGGAAAGTAGACCACTCCATAGGGCCAAGGGAGAGGGTACAAAAAAAAGGATAAGCACCTCCTCACCAGGCCAGTTTAAACCACAGCGGAGAGGTGGAGCTGTCACAGGAGCATGTAGCCCTCTTGGCCAAGAAACTTGCAAGTGGTGGTGGAACATGAGGGCAGGAACCAGGGCTGAACTGTGAGGGGTAATGAGGTGAACGAGAACATGCTCCTAGGTCGGCAGAACCCTGGAGAACCTACCTCGGCAGAGGAGCTGCTCCAGCCTCACAGTGTCCTTCCATTGCTTTTGGAAAAGCCCAGCAGAAAGACCCTGGACAGAGACTTTGATTTGAAGCTGAAGGTAATAAGTCAGTATCTAACCCACACTTGGTTTTATATTTTTAGAACCAATTATAAATCCCTTTAGCTCCCTAAATAAGGATTTGGACACTAAATTACCAGCCAGGTGTTAGAAAACAGTGGAACTAAAAAAAAAGTCTTTGGTTGCTTACTGCTATAGTTTGTATAAAAGTCCCAAAGGTCCACGTGTAAAAGGTRTGGTCCCAGGCCTGTGGCACTATTTGGGAGATGCTGGAATTTCCCACTGGGCTCTACCTCTTAGTCTTCCAGTTTGGGAATGTGTCCTTGAAGGGGGTACTGAGACCCCAGCCTCTTATTATCATGTCCAAACAATGAAGTGAGTGGCTTGGCCACATGCTCCACTGGGCAATCATGGGCTGAAACCCCAGCTCTGTGCCTAGATGAGCTTTTTAAGAGCTGATTAACACTTTTTWAAAAAAAAAAGTAATCAAGACTTATGTTTACCAACTTCAGGTATTTTTGCTCCCCTATAGCCACTTCTGCCCTAATGACATTTTCCTTCTTGTGTCCAGTTACTAGTTTTATCCATGTTTTGTTTCATAATTTTTGCTTGTGAGCTTCCTTTTAGTGACAAATCTGCTGTATCAGTCTCCCTGGAAGTGAAGGGCAACCTTAAGGACCAGTTTTGTGGTTGACTTAATATGATCTTATCAGGACTCCAGGTTCTAAACCAATTTTTTAGTCTTGGGGATTTCTACACCAAGTTCCTGTGCTAATTGGCCTCTGTCTTCTGATGAGACATAACTTTTCAGGCTCTTTACCCTCTCACATAGGGCCCATAGACTTGCCTCCTGTCTGACATAAGCTAACAATTCTGGTTTCCTTTAACTCATCATTGATTCTGTACTGCTTTGCTTTTCTGATCATCATGCGGAATTTTACCTGTTAGGAAGAAGAGTAAGCTTTCATTTCTCTGCCACCTTGATCAGTAGTTGCTTTAGTGATTCTAATATTTAACATGTAATGATACATTCCCTTATACTACTTGGTGCTTTACCATTTTCAAGATGCTTGTTTATTTAGGGAACAATTACAATGTCATGAAGTAGACAGCATCGACATCGTTTCTCATTATGAAAATCTGTCATTCAAAAATAGAAATCTCAGCGGAAACCAATTTTTATTGTATATCTACTTAACAGTCTTAAGAAGAGGGTGAAAAACCAAGTAGCTTAAAGTTCAGTTTCAATGAAACTGAAACAGTTTCACTGACAGTTGCTTAATAAGATACTTAGTAAACATTTTTAGTTTACTGTTACAATGAAAAATGGTAAGAGGCCCTTTCAGCATGGGCTGGCTTAGTGGAGGAGAGAAGTTTGAGGGGCATAGTGTTTGGATGACTCAGTTAACAGACCATCTGCTCAGGATAATGTAGCTGAAATCAGATTAGGTTTAAAAGGCAAATTAAGGGGTAGGCTTTGATTTTTATAAAAAATAGTTTATCATATTACTTATAAATTATGTGACCTCCTGTTTAGAACATTGCCTGAGTTAACAGAGAAGAGGATGTGACCTTGACAACTGCTCTAAGAATATCAGGGCAAGTCTATGTGGTCTTACAGAGTTTGAAATGCATAAGAGGTACTTGTTTAAGTAGACAATTTACATATTTTGCTTTTAATATGTTATTTAAGTAAACTCCCCATCTCTTGGAATGGTGGAACAGAATTCCCAAACTTGTCTGAGATACAAAAAGCTCCTTTTCCTTTGGCAGTGCCATTCCTCAGCAGCCTTTAGCACTCTGCTAAGAAATTTCAGACTCAGACCTAGGTTTGGAACTTGGCCCTGGGTTCCCCACCACCAGAGTACTTAGGTATATCGCTGTAACAGAGTCAAAGGTCCAGGCATACAAGTTACAAAYAGGGCTTTGGCAGTGCTAGCTCTTGGCAGTTTGGGGTCACTTTTTATATCCAGAAAAGTGTCCTCCCTTGGTCAATAACTGCCCAGGAATACTGGTAGCTCCTGTAGGACTTCTTCCAGCCTGTATGTTAGGGACAGGACACTTTCTAGCAAGACCTAAATCAGATGTCCACAAATATCCCCAGTTCTTTCCATAATTCCTGTTTCTTCCTAATACTGTCTGGCCATGCAGATAAATTTAACACAGTATTTACTTTCATCAAATGGCAAACTGTACATGTATAGACACATCAGCGATGTTGCTACTCATCCTCAGCTTCTGGGCTGTCCATCTGGAGTCAGCTCATACCTGCAAGGCAGTTGGATTTGGACTTGTATTAGGTCCACAATACCTGCTCATTACTAATGAATGGCATTGGCCTCTACAGAGCCAGCAGCAACTCTCTCCAAGTTGGCCAGCCAAGAATAAGGGTAGTTAACAGGGATGTGATAGGTTAATGAGACATGGAGTTAGTGAAGCCTGAAGTAAAGGTGTTAGTAGTTTGTCTCTTTTCTTGATATTGAAAAGGGAAGGACTTTGGAGAGAGAGGGTAGCTAAGACAGTGTCTTGAAGAACAGATGAACAGTGATAAATGAAAGAGCATACTCACCATTGTGAGAAGCCCTTAATCAGATCTTCTTTTGATAARTCTATCAGCACCTAAACAACCACAAATAATTATTTCCCTCCAAAAACACTGCATGAGTCCATCATAAAATTTCCTTGGGCTCTTAGGCGTTCAAAATGGACCTTCTCGAGAGGGACAAYACAGACAGTGAACTTACTGTCCTGGGGAAAGACAAGTGCCTGTACTTTAGGAATTTCAGGTCATGTTTTCAAGTTTATATATGAATTTATAAAAAGAAAACCTGCCTCATCTGTAAAAATGAAGATAATACCATCTACTTTATAGAATTGGCCTCTAAAGAGGCAAGTAGAGGGTACTTATTTGAATGTAACACTATGAAATACTGTACACATACCATTTTGGGGGCCTTTCCTTGGCATAGTCCTAGGGAGTATATTTCTTCCACTTTAGGTAAATATATTGTGCAAAGCTTGGATCTTATCACAGTACTTATTACCGTAGTAGATGTTCAAATTCTTGGGTAGTACTGAGTTTGATAGATTTCTTGTTAAAATAGGTTTTATCATATGAATTTATATTTCTATATTTAATTTCAGGGGACTTGAGTTAGAGTACTGGGAGGAACATAGTACCAAGAACCCTTCTTGTACTTACTTTTCCTAACTCTTTCCTTCTGTGTGAGCCAAGTGGCCTACTATTTTTTACTGCAACATCGAGTGACCTCTTCTTTACTTCTTCCATGGGAACAAAAAATTCAAATCTTTAGGAAGAAAAAAAAAGTCATTTTTGTTGAAAATCTGAAGTGTTTTATCCACTTCCCTAGTAAAGCAGGAGCGGTAGACTATGAAGAGCATATTGGTTCCTAGGTATTCAGAATCCTGGAAGTGTTCTGAGGCTGTGTGCCTTTCAGACTACTGTGGTTTGGAGTTTATGACCCATTTGTCTAATTCTACTTTGCCTTTCCCCACTCTGAACCTGCTCAACCTCTTTCCAAGTTGTTTGCTCAAGAGTTAGGCTTTTTCAAGCTACATGTAAAATAGTGACTGTAAAGTAGGGCAGAGGAGTCTATATATGAACTTTGTAATCCTAAGAGAGCCTTTACTTCTGTATTATTTTTAGGGTGGAGTGCTAAGTCTGCCTTTTAGATAATCCAGGCATAATTTTAGGAAATTTACTAATGATTGTTTTAAAAGTTAAGTCTTTTCTGTATTCCTATGTAGAATTGTGACATCCTTCTATAATTGTATCAAAATCTCTTACTTGTGTGGCTCTACTGATGAGCTCAAAGAGAACTCGGTCCTCTTAAATGAGTAGTTATTGATCAGGAATAGAGGGAATCATAATTAAGCCATTTCTAGCCAACTTAGGAAGATGCTGTAACCTCTTTTCTCAGGATTCTGAAGCAAACAAGACATTTTGGTTTTACTACCTTGAGGATTATCAAGAATAAAAATACTTGAAATCAGACTTGCTGCCACTACCCCATCAAAAGTAAGAAACATGATTAGAGTCTACCTAATCTCTTCTGTCCCCAGGAACATGAGTGGTCAAGCCTTTGCGGAGAAAGGGAGGAGTCCTTCATCTAACACCTCTGCTGTTTGCAGGAGGGAAGAGAAGCAAAGAGCTCTGGAGGAAACGTTAGGTCTAGCTAGCATGCAGTTAAAAATGCCCCCCCCAATACTTATTTGGCAGTAAAACGATTTGAATCTTATTAAAGAGGGGGGGGCTAGGGTTGTAGCAATTGCCTTGCATACTTGAGGCACTGGGTTCCATCTTCAGTACATTAAAAAAATAAAGGTATTGTGTCTATCTACAACAACAAAATTATTGTAGAACATTCAATAATCAGGAATGCTTCACTCTCTCAGGGCAGCCTTTGTGATAAATGGCCCACGTTGTCCTTTCCCTGCCAGAAAGCATATGAAAGCTTCATGGAGTCGGACCATGTTGTATTGCCCTGGCAGGCTCCCTGGGACACACAATACGCAAGTGGATAAGGCACTCTAGGATGGCTGAGGGCCCACTCACGTCTCATCAAACAGAGGTTCCAGGGTCTTCCTCTTCACCGAGGTCTTCTTCCGACTTGCCCACCTCCTTTCTGGCAGCAAGTAGATGCGGACATAGGGATCTGCCCCACTACTGGTGCACGGCGTCAGGTTTCTGATTTGTAGAGAAGAGAGTCCCCTGAAAAGACTCATTTGGGAGAAAGCGTACTGGCCACTCAGCTTGGATGGCCCGGGTAGAGAGCCCTCTATAGTCTAGATGACTAGAGGCATTTAGAGGACAAGATACCAGGTGTATTTTTAAAATCTGAATTTTTGTATTTGGGGTACAGCAAGTACTCTGGAATTATACTCAGTATAATTCCCTTGGAATTATACTGGCTATCAGTCACCCCCAGACAGTTTTGTAGTAGTTATGTCCGAGCAAACCTCTGAGACCATCAGCCCCAAAGAATGACCATCCAAGTGCTCCTTTGGGGATTCTCTTCTTTCACAGCACACAAGCCTTCAATTCTCATTTCTTCCCAATATGTTACTTCTCCACCTGGGAACCTCACATCCTGGCCCCCACTTTAGTTTGTGGCCACCTGATGCCTCTAAAGAACCCTCCTACCTGCATCTGTTGATGAGCACCCTGAGGCAGCGCCGCAGACACACGTAGCGAACCGTGAGCTGAATCTCGCCAAGCCGCCGCTGCCCGCAGTCCCCACCTCTGTGAAGAAAGGGTTTGTCACCTCTCATCATTAAAGTGTTGGCCCTCTCCCCTAAGACAGAGAGACATGTCCTACTTGGGGAACACAGAGCCATGTAGGTTAATAATCTCAGGAATGTTCCATCTAGCGTCAACATTTATCCTACTTTGCAGTAGGAAGAGCATGAACCCTGGAGTGTCTCTGCCTTTGTCATGATTCCTGGGGGACTTTGGTAAATCTTACTTTTATGGTGGTAAGTTCTATCTTGTGGGGCTATTGTGAAGACTCAATTAAATCTCATAAAATAAGGCCATGGTAAAGAGTAAGTGACTACCAGTTACGTAATTCTATACTTCRTGCTTTTTGTATCATCCCAGTGAGACTCAATGTTTCTGCTGGAAGGGTCCTTAACAACTGCAGGCCAGCATCTCTTGTCCAGTTAGAGTAACTAGAGCCATAACTGGCTCATGCCCTGTGTCATGCTGCCTCTAGTATAGATGTTTTGTGGAAAACCAGAATTTGCACAGGTGTGTAAGTTCATATCTACTCTTCCATCCAGGGAGATACTTTTCATGCAGGTGATTTTAGAGATTAAGCAGAGGTGCATACTCAATGTAGAGGCTGTTATCTGTCAGGTCAAAGCAGGAAGAGGCCAGGGAGTTGAGCGAGGACATGCTGGGAGCTAGTCCTGTGGGTGGCCATGCGAATGGGGAGGTAGGGCATTTCATGGGCCTGGGTGACTTGATGGGCCCCGGAGAGTGGGGGCCTGGGACAGTCAAGAAGACGGTGGTTGAGCTCTTCTTCTTCCCTGGGGGCTCACAGAGCCCTTTGGCACTGTCCTTGCCTTTGGGCTCTGGGCCTGTCTCTTGGGGCTCGGGGACAGCACTGGTGGTGGTTGTGGCGTTCTTGGGTGCCTCCTTGGTGTTTGAAGAAGGGTCTGGGGGACATGGAAGATCTGTAGGGCCTTCTCCTTGGGCTGGGGCATTGGAACTGTGGTCAGTGGCCACCTTCTTGATGAACAGAGGGCCTTTCTTTAGGGCTTCGGGTCCTGTGTAGGGGCTCCCCAGCTCCCGTTCCTCCACACGCAAGAACTAGAAGCAGATGATAAGATGGTTATGGCTGGGCCTACCAATCAACTTCAGCTATTGTTTCTCCTTCCCCTCATCATCAAGACCCTAGGGAATTCCATTTCCAGAAATAAACATGGTAATCCAAATATGCTGAAAAGCCATTATGCCAGAATAAAACGAAACATCCTTTTAAATGCATAGCCAAATTTAAGTAATTCTTTAAGTGAAAAAGACAGTGAAAAGTGAAATACAAAAGTTAAGCTTTCCTTGGGTCAATGTGAGATCCTGAAGGTGGTTTCTGTGAAAAAGGTAGAATAATAATATACTCTAGGTTTTTCTTTGTTTTTTGGTAGGGTGGTGGTAGAGGAGTTGTAACTTATTGGCCTGTCCTCAGATTTATTGAGTTCATTTATTTTACCCATGGGTTTTGATACCCAAAGTAAAGAAAATAACAAATGAATCCAGACTTGTAATGCTTCTGAGGGTACCCAGTGGCAACAAAACTTCCTTGGGAAGAACAGCCAGCCTTAATGCAGGCCATTGTCAATTAGAGAAATGAGTCATCATGGAAATGTAGCAGCAGATCAGTGTCCCAGACCTTCCAGATGATAGAATGAACAATCTTTGCCAATGACCAAAGATGGAATATAGACACAAAGAGATACAATACAATTAAAAAAAGGTAGATTTGGAAGAGAAAATTAGAAAACTCACCACTGAAATAAACAGGTCGAACAGTAAACTAGGCATAGCCAAAGAAAATTTGTGATCAAGAAGGTAGAATGTAGCACTATGAGATGGGAAAGAGAAGATGAGAACAAGGGTTACAGAGGATAGCTGTAAAGGTTCAATGCAGAAGTTCTAGGAGGGACTGAAAAATAGGGAAGAGGCAGTATTTGAAGGAATATCAGCTGACAATATTCCAAGAGATGAAAACCAAATCCATTTCCTGGCATCTTCAGCACAGAGTAGTTTCTTCATGCGGGGACAGTTCACCTTGCTCCACCCCCAGGCCGAGGGGCTTACCCGAAGCACCAGCCTCATGGAGATGAGACTGTCCAGGCCAGAGTGGTCCAGCTGAAAGCGCTGCTCCAGGGTGAGGTCAGCGTAGGGGAGGATCTGGCATAGCGGGAACTCCAGCACTCCCAGAGCGCATTCCTGGTCATCATCTAGCACCTGGGCCAATTAGAGGGGGAACTAAATCCACCTATACCATGACTAAGTCTGAGCTGTGTAGCTACTGGCATCTGGTCCCTGCCTGCAAGTGCTCCAAGCTAGTCAGGTGGCTAGGGCCATCGGGCTTTAGAGACCATGGGCTGAGCTGCTCCACAATGGACTGTCCACGCAGGGCCCCAAATCCCTCAGCTCCTCAATTTCTTGTCCATGAAATCTTGGGCAAATCATTGATTTAGCCTCTATCTCCTCATGGGTGAAATAAACGAAATAAAGACTCTCTTCCCCAGATCTTTTGTGAAGATTAAATGAAAAAAAAATTGAAATCTGCCATTATCAATGTCCTGAGTATACTCTAAAGCTACTTTGTAACAACTATAAAGACCCTTGTGCAGGGACAGCCTCCTCCACAATGACCTTGGGCACCCGCCTGGAGGAGGAGACAAGGCCTTGGGGAGCCTCAGTCTCCTCTCCCTCACAGGCCCTGACTCACTGCCAGAACCRCTGGATACGCATGTCAGACTCGCAACCTCTTAACTGCATTCTAGGAGCCCAGATTCAAGCACACCTTCAGGCGGAGGTGCTCAGCTGCCACACTGTGCACAAAGAAGGAGAACACCTGGCTCCACACCGGGTCCTTGCTGTGGGGACAGATCTGGGAACAGAAGGAGGAGAGAGCACAGATACTGGCACCTGCTGCTTTCAGTCTGGCCCCAGAGATCAGATATCACATGCTTTAGTGGGGGACTGTACGAGGACCACACAGCTAGATTCAAAATGCTGACAGTGCTCTGCAGGGAAGTATGGGGACTAAAAACTCATATCATGAAGGCTCACTGAGCCCAGAGCTGACAGAATTCCTGGTGCTGGGGTAAAGGACACAGGCTGTAGGGCCAGGCCAAGCTTGAACCCCAATTCTGCTGCTTTGTACAATTGCTCTTGGGAAAGACCTCAGCTTCAGCTATAAAACTATTTTGGAGGTTATCATGAGGACTAAAGAGCCTACTAAGTCCTCAGTGTATGGGAATTTCTTCCTTTCTGCCTCCGTCCCTGAGGGCTGGGGCCCAACTTCCTTGGCCCAGGCCTACGCACCCGCTGTCTTACCTTACTTGTATGCGTCTTCTTGCCTACAGTCAGCTTTACATAGGAAGAAGGGTCTCTGCTGACCTTGTTCTGTGAGGAGGCAAACTCACAGCATTAATAGTGCTGTCAGGGTCATCTTGAGACACCACCCCCGTCAGTGGCTCCTGGGGTAACCAACTGCTTCTCTTTGAGAGAGGACTGCCCTGTGCTCCCAGGCCCTCTGGGCAGCAGTTACTATGCAAGCACCAGGACAGGACTGGCCTCAGGAGAGGCTTGATTACAGACTAGAGGCCCGAGCTGGCTTGGTAAACAGAGGCCCTTATTCCCTGGGGCTATGGAAATAGATGAAGTCATGTTCCAGTCCTCACAGACCCAGGCAATAACCTTCTGGGTCCCATTTATAAATGGGCAATAAAAGCTACTGACATCAGTCATCAGGGGACTCAGATGACAAATAGGGGCAAGTTGCTTAGTCCAGTGCTTGGTACATGGTGGATCCATGGAATGGTCCCCTTGTTGTCCCCTGACTGTATGCACAGACTGGTTACTTTCTGGGGTGGGGGGAGGCCATAATTTGCCCTTGCTTTGCACATCCACACTTACCCTGGCAAACCTGGAGAGTTTTTTGGCTCTATATTCACCATTCAGGTAGTCGAAAGGGTTTCTCTGCAGCACCAGAAGAAATGGAGTTAAAGCAACACATGGACTTTTGGAAGTAATGGGCACAAAGCAGGGTGCGTGTGACCCTGAAAACCTCACCACTCACCGGCAGGTTGCAGGCATTCTCCAAGAAGACCACAAGGATGGCAGTGGAGAGGCCACCATGGTCCTACAAACAGTTACAGGCTCTCACTGGGTGTCCCCAGCAGCAGGATACACCTGCTGGTTTTGCAGATGATACAGCAAAAAGAAGCCAACCCTTACTCTCCACACCAGCCGTAAGATCTCTCATGGCCTAACTTTTTGTTGAGGATAAGAGTACAACAAACGGCAGCATGACAGATTCAAATTAGACACAAAGGTGATTTCCCTGTTGACCTGGGATGACAGGCATTGACACAGAGCTCTTGACCGTGACTTCCGTAAACATGACTGAGATGTTTAGAAGCTTGTATGCTGAGAGATTAGGGGCTTCCCTGGGTGGAGAGAGGGGGCTGAGTGACATGTTTTCCAGGACATGAGCAAGAAGTAAGGGGCTTCATCTCCTCCCTTGCCTCTTCCTGTACACAGCCTGCACGTACCCTGTACCCGCTCTTGCTAGGGAGCCTGTGACATCCCGCACTCACCTCAGTCATAGCGTCCTGGTCAGTGAGCAGTGACAGCCACTCCAGCCGCAGATGCAGCCGCCCACTGTTTGTATCATTCAGGACAAACCACTGTGAGGTGGGGTGGGAGAGGGAAGTTCAGAAAGAGGGCCAGGGAGAGGCTACTGACCCTTTTTGGAACACTCAGTCTTGGGCTCCAGGAAAAGATGCCAACCCAGACATAGGCTCAGCAGGAAGGTGGGCAGACAGGTTCCAGGAGGGCAAGTGGTACTCAGCATGGACAGACCCACCCTGCAATGGTACATTCCCTGCTGGGATCCTCACTCTGGACATTTCCCAGGGAAGCTTCTTCTAACCCAGGCCCTGAGTTTCCCTGGAGCCACCTGTGCCTTACCCAGCTCTTGTCCCCAAGAATGGGGTGTATGCAGCCAGCACAGAAGGCCCCATTTCCCAGGACAATCTGCCAGGGCTGCCTTTGGGAAGTGGGCCAACCCCCCACCAGGAACTGTGGCACTACTTTACCTCATCCACCACTCTGTTTGTCATGACGTCCCCCAGGCAGATCTGCAGGCTGGAACACAAAGGGAAAGGAGGTCAGCACAAAGGAGGAGCACAGAGGGGGCCTGGAGGCCCATCTTGGAATCTACCTGGGGCCGTTAAGTCAACAGATCTTTTTCATCCCAAGAATCAATGGGATGTCAAACTTCCATTCAAGTGAAGGAAGGACTAGCTGACCACTGGGCACATGGTGCCCAGGGAGGCAGGCGGTTCCCAGACAAAGGGGCTGCTGGACATGTTGCCTGTGGACCTCTCAGCAGCAGGGCTACTAGCATTTTGAATGTGATGATTCTTTATTGTGCAAAACTGCCCATGCTTCACAGGGATTTAGCCTCCCTGGCCTGTGCCCTCTCCACACTGCTCAGTGCTGCAAGCACCACCCCCAGTCACCTTAACAGAATGCCCTCTGATTTGGAAACTGCCCCCAGGTACCCTGCAAGGGCTAAGATTGTGTGAGAGGTGGTGACTCCCACAGTACAGCGTCCCCTTGCTCACTCGCTCAGCCACATACGGCATGAGCCACAAACCACTCCTCTAATTTGCAACACTGAAACTACAACTGTTTCATTAAGATGGAAAATAAAGATGACAGGCAACACCTGTTAGTGAGCTGTTTCTTAGCTGTCAGGCTGTCTCCCATTTGGTTTTATTTCCACTTTTTATAATGACATTCATGGAATCAAGCAAGGGGGCAGGGTGAGAGACTAGAAACTCTCTTCTTTGCCTCTGGCCTGGAGGCGAGCAGTGCCAGCAGTTTCCAGGCTCCTCTGCTCATGTGAACACATTCAGGTCCTCTGAATCCCATGACACAGCTTCCCTACCTACAAATTGGGTCTCAATCAGCACATAGATGTTACTTTTTTTTTTGTATTGAGGAGTGAATCAGGGGTGTTTAACCGCTGAGCCACCTCCCTAGCCCTTTTTATCTTGAGGCAGTATCTCACTAAGTTGCTTGGGGCCTTGCTAAACTGCTGAGACTGGCGCTGAATTTGTGATCCTCCTGCCTTAACTTCCTGAGGAACTGGGATTATAAGCATGTAACACCACACCTGCTACTTTGTTTTTAAAAGTACAGAATACTCTGACATTTGGCAATGGCAACTTACTCATTTGAACATTCAGCCAGTGCCCTGGGAATGGACATCCATTCATGTTTCCAGGGTGAGGAGGGGGTGTGTTCTGCTACCACAAATACTTATGCAATAGCATTTTGAGTACTAATGCTTTTATTTTGTAGGAGATTCCTGGACATGGGACTGCCTGACCCAAAGACATGTAAATCTGAAGGTTTGATGGCCAGTCCCACCCCAGCCATTTCAACCTTCCTAGAATCCCGAGGGAGTGGCCAGGGTTCTTTGGAACTGGATCCCTTGTCATCCATGCCAGCCTTGCCCTCTGCTCCAAGTGGGGACTCTGGGTACATTGTCAGGAGGGCAGAAAGCAGAGCCCATCATGCAAAATACTTGGGGTTCTCTCTGGCCTGCCCCAGGGTTTAGGTCAGGGGTGGAGACTTGAGAGACATCCAGGAAAGTGAGTGGCAGAACTGTGGTTGGTGGGGCAGGCTGCCTGGCACAGTCACCATTTCAAGGTGACCAGAGAGGGTTACAGGTCAGTAAGCAATGAGAGCAGGGGTGCCTGGGTCCTCACAGGCTTAGCCCACAGCCCCAGGCAGGGGAGGTCCAAGGCCCAGTTCCATCCTCCTCACCTGCCAAGGAAGTCATCCCTGTCCGTGTCCTCATCATACAGGTCCACCTCCAGGTCCTGCCCAGGGACTTCATACACCATGAACTGAAAGGAGAGAGGTGTCCTGACCAATAGGTCGCGACTGATCCATCAGCCCTTATGACCTGAGGGAGCCAAATCCCAGCCTGGTGCGCAGGCAGGTTCCTGGCCTTTTAATTGCCTCAGAACCCCACCCACAAGGAGGAAAGGATGCCCCTCACACAGGGTGGAGGAGGCTAGAGAACATGAACAAACCGGGGCAGTGGCTGCTATCCACTCTGCCTTGGGCCTGTGGGTTCCGGAGCACTTGCCCATTACACTCCCTTGGCCCCATGGCTGTGGCACCCCAGGACACTGATCCACCCTTTATCACTGTTTCCCTGCCTTGGCCCATTTATGACAGCACACAGATGGCTGGTTGTGAGGGGAAGTTGGAGAGGGCACCAAGGTGGCAGTCCTGGAATGTGAAATTGGAGGGGCCTTCGAGGTCTTAACAGACTGTGGGTCCACCCTTCAAGTAGCAGGGACTGTGGGTGGACCTAATGAAGGACTTCAGGTACCTGATGTGTGGCTCTAGCAGGGAAGGCTGGGGTGTGGGCAGAACTGCCTGTCTGAGGGTCTTTTTTTTTTCTTTGAGAATTTCCAACAAAGCTAATTCTGGTAGGGAAAGAAGATAGGGGGATTTGCCTGCAGGCTGAAAATACAGGACCAAGGCAGCCCACCTCCAGAGGCCTGGTGGATATGGGGTCAGGAATCACACCAACCTGCCTGCCCATCTCCAAGTCCCATGGCTGGCCAGAGCTTCTCCACAGGACAAGGCCCCACCTTGACTATGCCCAGCACAGCCCAGATGAAACCTCTAGACACCCAGGACTGTCAAAAGAGGCCAAGGAGACCCTTACCTCAAATACCTCATTCCAGGTGGGGTTCAGGTTCTTGTAGATGGTCCTGCTCCGGAAATGCTGCAAGCCGATGCTCACCTTGGCGTAGGGGTCTGATTTGCCTCCAAGCCCCAGGAAGCCATCCTTTGCGGACAGCTTCTCAGCTTCCAGCAAGTAGACTCTGATCACCCCCTGGAAAAGCCCCCCCCCCCAGGGCTCACAGCTGCTTCCAGGGCTGCATCAGCCATCAAGGCCCAGGAAAGCAGGGCCACAGTCATCAGAGATCACTACCACCCCCAGCTCACCTGCTCCATGGTCTGGATGGGGAGGTGGAAGCCAGAGACAGCAATGAGCTGGCCAAAGCCACACAGCAAGTGATGGTAGGAACTCAGGCTCTCCCAGTGCACCAGCATGTTTTACCATGTCTCTGACCCTCCCACCCACCCTGCCTCCAAACTGCTACATGGAGGGCTATTCAAATGCACCCATTTCCTGTCCTGTACCAACAATCATGTCGCCTCAGGAGCTTCCTCCTTCCCATCAGCCCTCTTCACGTAACCTGCATATAGACTGAGTCCTAACATCATTTCTTTTCCACACCCAGTGGAGCATCCTGTGGGCACTGCCTGCTGCTGGTAGGAAGTCCTTCTACTCATTAAGGCCCCACACCAAGTGTCAGCCACCACACCCTGGGCCATGCCACAGCACAGAGCTCTTCTGCACACTCATAGAGGGATGTTCAAAAAGAAATGAAAACTAAAACACTCTTAATAACAAACAGCACAGGAAATCTGAAAAGAACGATTCACAGGGCTTGAGGTCTGCCGCCATCCTGGAACTACTACTTTAGAAATAGCAGTAAATACATATGCATTTTCCCCTTGACCCACATTTTCTCTTTGTTCCCATATCTGGGAACCTATCCCAAAGGCATGCCGGCAAAAATATAGGATGACGCCTGCACAAGGCTATTCACTGCACTGTATCTGTAACAGCAAAAGTCCAGACACATGACCTAACTGTTCATCAAGGGGTGAACCAGCTTCAGTACATTCCCACAGTGAAGAGCCTCCCAGCAGCTGTGAAGGAATGAGGGCGGTCTCCATGCTGCCATTGTGAGATTTCCACAACCCAATGAGTGACAAAAACAAGGTAGGGAAACTACAGTAGGCTACCATCTTCCCAAGGAAGGGGACTATGAAGATAATCAAATATGTGCACATAGGACCGTATATATCTATCTATTCTTACTGAAAACCAAGGAAAAATCAGGGCAGGATAAACCATTAGTTATAGGAACTGGAGGGAACAAGAGGTAGAAGTTGAATTTCTTAAAATATAATTTGGTTTTATATAGAACTTTAGAAACACACAACTATTTGCATAATTGTAAAAGGAAATTAAGGTAACAATGAAGTCATAAAAAAGAGACTGAAACAAACAAATGTAAACATTTGTGGCCAATGGAACTATTCCAAGGGAGTCTAAAATGTAGTAGTGTGACTACTCGTACATCCCAAGTGGGACATACTCTAAGGACAGTGGGACATACTCTAAGGACAGCAAGTCTTTAGTAATTGTGATATGGGAGGAGGCATTTGTATTGTTACTTGGGGACCATCACACATACAGTGCAGGCCACACCAGTGTGCCACCATGGGAAGGCTGAGAGGACACATGAGCTGTATCCCCAGCCAGCCTGGGTTTTCTGGGATCCCCCCCCCCCACCCCTACCCCTCAGCAGATGTGTGCCTCATTCGGTGAGAAGGCCATGCTCTTACCTGGTGCTGAGGGTAAGAATGGGTGCTTTCCCCTCTCTTGGGGTCCTGACTCCCAGCCCCCAGGAGTTCAGGCCCACAGCCAAGGCACCTTTGTGTAGAGACTGTCCCCAAGGGAGTCCTGAGCTGGACCCAGGATGGGAAGACAGTGTGGCTCAGTGCACCAGATCAACCAAGACTCTTCCTCAGTAGACCCAAAGGTTCTTCCTGACCCAAACTGACAGAGTCCAGGGACCTCCTGGGGTGTCATGGGAATGGCTGCACACAATCCTCAACACAAGCCACAGGGGCTGCCAGGAGCACAGAAGACAATGTGCCTGGGCTCTGCCCCTCCCTGGATGGTAAAATGACTTCAGGCAAAGTCATCCCACCTCCTAGCCTCAGTCTCCACCCTCTGAAATGGGATGCCAGCCYTCGAAGGGTAGAAATTAGGATCAGTATCTGAGAATGCATTTCAGGACACCTCCCCAGCCGCCCAGGTGTCCCTCCACACTGATGCTGCGGCCAGCACCAGGTACTCACTCACACAGGGCAAAGGGAAGCGCAGGTTGGTCACATCCAGGCCCTTCTTCACAGGCACAGTCACGCGGTTGGGCAGCACCAGGTGGGCGGCAATGAGGTCCTCCAGCAGGCTGTCTGACACTTCACTGGGGTATCAGGCATGACCAACTATAGCAAGTAACACTCCCTCCCCATGCCACCTGTCCCTCCACCCAGCCTCAGCACTGGAACCGACAGCCCAGCTAGGTGTGGGCCCTGACAGGCAGCCTGACCACTTCCCATCTGGATGGAGGTGGCTATCCATTTTGACAAACCCTGATATTCTGTCCCAAATAGCAGCCCTCCCACCTGCACCCTCTGGCACCCACCACCCCAGCCCTGCTTTGTTCTCTGGATGGCCAAGAACAGACCCTGGGCCTGGGTATGATCTCAGCTCAACTGCCCCCTAGTTGTGTGACCTTAGGCATATCACCCACCTCTGTGCACCTGGGTTCCCTCAACTCTAGGAGGTCGGCTAGCAATGCTGGCCTCCTTGAGTAGCTGTAGGGGAGGAGACGTGTGCGGTGCCTGGACCATGGAAACACTACGCAAGAGCTGGCTACTGTAGCCTTCTGCTGCCTGGCACGCCCCTGTTCTCATTATAGCCCACCTCGTTCTCCCCAAAACAGGGATATAGGGACAGGAGGGACACACAGTGAGTGCTCAACAAATGTTGTTTGAATGAAAGAAGTGCTTATCCTGGCCAGTCCCTGTCCCTCCTTCCTGGGGAGGCATGTCTGAGGGGCTGGAGCCCTCCTCTGCGCCTCACCAGGGGCCTGGGACCTCCAGACCAGCCCCTCCTCACCAGCCTCCGCTGTGACAGCCAGCCCCTCCTGTGCCTGAGTTCATGACCACAGTCATGAGGCCACCTGGACTTCTCACCACAGACATGGGCTAGGGAGGGGCTAGCTTGAAGAATGAAGAGGATACCTGGATGTGCCCAATCCCAGTATATGGTCACCACATCCCCAAATGCTCTCCCAGGGACCTCGAGTCAGAGGAACCAGGCTTCCCTTTTACTGACAACAGGCCCAGAGAAGTGAAATAGCCTGTCCACAGTCACAAATTTGCTAAGTGACAGAGCCAAGAGCTAGCTGGCCTGGGCTCCTCTCTCACTAGCCCCCGTGGTCTCCAGAACACCTCATCTGATCAGAGCCCCAGGACAGGGACCTGAATGCCCCTCAGCCCAACACTGAGTAAAGCGCTTCTTGCCCGTGTGTGTGTGTGTGTGTGTGTGTGTGTGTGTGTGTGTGTGTGTGTGTCTCTTCTGGGCACAGCCCTGTCAGCCTCGGCCCACACCTACAGAGGCTCTCCCTGTGGAAGGGAGGGCTCAAGGCTGTCCCTCTCGCCCCAGTCCTCATGCATGGAATAGGAGGGTGGGTACATCCTTATGCAGCTCCCGGCACTGACAGCAGAACCCTGTGCCTCCACTGGGGACCTCCCTGGAGGTTCCCAGGCACTTACTTGATGCCTGGTGCATCCAGCAGGTTGGTCAAGCCTGTCCAGTTGATCTGCAGATGCTACAGGGGCAGGAGGAGGCTGTTAGGCCACAAGGAGCTGAGAACCTCTTCCAAGTACCTCACACCTGCCTGAACAGAGAGCCCAGCCTGCCAGGGTTGCCCCCTGTGGGCAGGTCAGATGGGCAAGGRCACCTCCCTGACCTGCTCAGACCTTAGCTCAGGATGAAGCCAGGGCTGCCAGCCTGCTGCCTCCTGCCTCCTGCCAAGACCCACCACAGGAGGAAGCCTGCCCATTCGGCTGCAGGCTGCCTGGCCTTGGAGAGTGGAGTTTGTGAGCTCTTCTTCAGACCACCTGTGTGCCCCCTCTGGGCTTTGTCTCTTGGTAGGACCAAGTCTGGCTCCTCAGGCTGCTGGAGGATTAAGCGAGGCAGGAGCATGAGGGCCTAGGCCTGGGGGGGGGGGGGGCTATAGCAATGTCCATTCTTGGGCTCCAACCCAAAGGCTCTGCTCAGGAGCATCTCTGCCCCTGTCCCCGGGGCTCACCGGCTTTTGAAGGAAGAATACGGTGACAGCTCCCACGAAGGGCTTGTCCACCAGGAGGGGCTCCAGGATGACCCGCAGGGTGCCCTGCAACTGGATGGGCACAGAGGCTGAGAATGCAGGTCTTCTTCTGGGTCTGCTGCACTCGGCCGAGGTCATTTCCTACCTTGTTCCATGTCCATATCAGGACCACCTACCCTAGGCCACCTGCTGTCACAGTAGGGACCACACTGGGCGTGCAGGAGCCTGGACATAGCATCAACTCTTGTGCCAGCCACCAAGGCCACAGACTGACCCCAATCACTTTCTGTGTTGTGCTAACCACTCCAGGAGCAGGGACGCAATGCTGCGTGTTCCTGGGGTGACATCGCCACCTCCTGCTCTCACCTGGATGTCTAAGCGATGGTTCTTCATCACTCCAGAATGCCTCTCTCCCCCAGGCAGCTGGAGCCGCCCAGGGACTTTGCAACCTGAGGCAGGTTGTGCAGCCCTGAGGCAGAGCTGGGGCTGAAGCCCAGCACCACTTCCTGGCCATGTGACCCTGGGCCTGCGGTTTCTTCAGTCCCCAGCCTGTGTTTGGTTCCTCACCACCTTTTGCAGCCTGCTCCTGCCTGAGCTGGCTCCCGCCTTCCAGGTACTTTTTTCTGTCCCCAGGAGCTGGAACAGAGGCAGTCATGTGGCTCCACCCACCTGGATCCCATTCACACCTGCATGTATCTTCTGCAGCTCCACACTGATCTCACAGTCCCCGATGTAGCTGAAACCGGGAGGGAGAAGGAAGAATGGAGAGGAGGCAAGTCCACCCTCTCAGAGAGGTCTGGAAACTTGCCCAGTGTTGCACAGCCTGATCCCTGGCTGCTGGCCACCAAATCTAAGCTATGTCACTTGCTACACAGCCTCCCCTATAGCCTCAGCCTTCCTTGATTCTGTTTAGACCCTAACCCAGGTCCAGATCAGGAGAGATAGCCCCTTAGTCCCCTGCATTTTGGTATCCTGGGTATGTCCCCACCTCTGACCTTGAGGACAATGACTCTGAACATCACCTTGCCCCATGACACCCAAAGATGGAAAGAATCAGCTCTTGGTAAACACACTGCCCCTCTCTACCACTGCTGCACCCCTGCCCCATTTCTGCCTGGGTCTCTTTCCAGAAGCAGCCCCAGTGCTTACATCAAGCCACTGCCCAGGGTGTGGCAGTGGAGGTGGGCAAAGATGACAAGGCCTCAGGCTGCAAGAACAGGAGCCCAAGTCTATTTGGGGCCTCAGGGAACCCAGGACAAGTGCCCTTGAGGGTAAAGATCAGGAGACTATTAAAGGTCAGAGGACTAAGGGGGATGACAGAGTGGCTGTCACACATCTGCAGGTCATAGGCAGAGGAGCCTGACGTCACAAGTCAGAAATGCTGAGTGGGGGCAGGCAGGATGGACAGACAGGGGCCCTGGGTACTGCCTGGGAGGCTGGGTGGGTCAGATGGCATCCAGGGGCTCCAACTATTCACACAGGATCTCATGGCAGAGCCTCAAGGGCCAGGAGCACCTGGTTGCCTGGAGACCAATCCCTAAAGAGGGGTGGGTGGCCCCAGAATTGGCTCCCATCTCCCCAGCATGCTCTCAGGGCCAGCTTCTAGGCAAAGGTTGGAAAATGAGAGACACTGGGAAGGAAGGGCGGTCACTCTGGGACTCAGGAGTTGTTCAAAGCACAACTCAAATCTCACCACCTGCAGGAAGACACCCTGGACGGAGCCTCTCTTGATCCTGACTCAAGCCTGTTATGAACCTCACTTGAAAGAGGTGCCTGGGTCCCGCCTGCTAACCTAGCTGCTTATGAGACTTTGCATCCTCCTGGCCTCCAGCTGGCCTTTCTCAATCCGTGCTCGGAATTCCCTGGGCTTCCCTCCCTCGTTCTCTCTGCATCCTGAGGCAGTTGGTCTGACCCTCTAGGTGATCCCAGCCCCGGCTTCCTTGTTATCCAGAATGAGCCAGGGGGTGGGAGAAGCCAGGACTGGGCCGTGGGCCCAGCGAGTGGCAGCTCCCCCAGGACCAGTCATTCTTCCTTCCATTTTTCCTGATACTCCTGCCCTTGTGCCCCAGCACAACGAGGGGTTCCACAGCCCAAATCAGAGTGTAGACATGCCACTGCATCTTCCAACTGGGTGCTTCCAGAGTTTCCCTGTCCCTGGAAACCCCCACCTGGCACAAGGGCTCACCATATCTGCAGGTCCAAGGTGACCTGTCTTCGGTTGCATTTGTTAGTATGTACCTTGACACCATTTACCCTGGGGCACTGGAAGAGATGGCAGACAGGTCAGTAGGTTCTCAAAACAGAGATGGCCACAAGCCCCTGCCCACAAGCCACTGTGCTCCTGGGCTGAGGCACGCACACACACAGAAACCCACCTGCAGCCTGAGATGCCCCTCCCTTGAAGGTGTCCCCTCCTTTGTCTCCTGTCACAGCTATTTACTGGGCGTCTACCCTGCACAGCCCAGTACTGGGAGAAAGCAAGGAGCAAGAGGGACCGAGTCTGCTCTCATAGGCCTACAGTCCAGCCCAGGAGACAAATAGGGCAGGGAGGGGCCACAGGAGGAGCAGCCCTGCTGTCCTGAGGCATCTGGGACTTCAGGACCTCCTGACCAGCTTGGGCGGGGCTAAAGTAGGCTCCTGAAGGAGGAAGCATTTAAGCTAGTCTGGCGGGTGAGTTGGCCCCATAAAGGAAAGGGAAAGGGGCAGGATCCTTGGTGAGGGATCCCATCCTGAGGATTCAAGTGCACTGCTACAGAGCCTTGGGCCCTGACCTTGAGCCAAGACCTTGGTTCCCAGGTAACTTTCCTTCTGCTTTCAGCTCCACCTGCTCAGACTCTTCTGTCCAGCAGTCTGGTTATTACTGATCAAGGGTAAAAAAAAAAATTTCATTTGAATCTTAATTAATGATGTTCATGCTGGGTTAGGGGTGAAGTTCACCAATATCTATTTAGTTTGAAATGCATTTTTTTAAATGAGTAGACAGTCATAAAAACAGTGAAATTATGGCATTTGCCGGTAAATGGATGGAACTGGAGGCTATCATGCTAAGCGAAATAAGCCAATCCCAAAAAACCAAAGGGGAAATGTTCTCCCTGATATATGGATGCTGACTCACAATTGAGGGGGGTGGAGTATACCAGACTGCATGGGGTAGGGGGTGTGGGAGGATGAGAATGGGAAAGACAGTGGAATAAATTGGACATAACTTTCCTGTGTTCATATATGAATACACAACCAGTATAGCTCCACATCATGTACAACCACAAGAATGTGAAGTTATACTCCATGTATGTATATGTGTCAAAATACACTCTACTGTCATGTGTATATAAAAAGAACAAATAAAGATATGTAGAGAGAKAGATGCATGAATATGTAATAAATAAAATATAGCCAAAGATTACCATCTGCACAATTTAGATGGTAGGTACATGATGTTCACTGAATAGCTTTAAAATTTTTTTTTTTGTTTGAAATTTTTCATAAGAAAATATTGCAGAAAAAATTCAATCAGTACCACTAGAGAAAAGATTCATTAACTTTTGACTTGCTCCACAAAAAGTGGATTTACAAATGCACTGTCCTATGGAATGGTTCTGAGTATGGAGAAGAAAAAAAGGGAGAAAAATGTATTATAGGACATATTAGACAAGTTCACTAAAAATGTCATATGGTTTTTCCAGAGTCTGTGATAAGTGTGATTTGTCAGCTTTTTAAAATGTGTAACATGCTCCAATTTATTTTCTTATTCTTTCTCCTATTTATTTATTGTTTAATAAATGTTATTTATTTTTTTATGTGGTGCTTAGGATTGAACCCAGGACCTCACAGGTACTAGGCGAGTGCTCTACTGCTGAGCCACAACCCCAGCCCTCCTATTTACTTAATATTCACTTTACCCCCATTTTGCATTTTTGATTCTACATTCCTTTTCTTCTAGAGTCCCCAGTACTATGGAAGCCTCTAACGGCACAGCCCCTGGCTCTGCCTCGCCTCAGTGGAAGCCTGTGTTAGAAGAGGGTGCTGTGACTAAGCCACCCAGGGCCTGCTGGGTGTTGGGAGGGGCTTACCTGGTACCTACAAAAGCTTGGCCAGCCCCAAAGACCCACATCCACAGAGCCAGGTCTCAGGGAGAAATGACTGCCTGGAGGCCTCTGCCATGAAGACCTACTCTGTGCCAACAGGACTCACAGTCAGGTGAGGAGCACCAGGCTAGAATTGACCTCCACAATGCAGGGCACTGCCACCAGCCACATAGAGCCATACCAAGGCCAGGCCTGCCATATGTGCCTCACCACCACCTTAAGAAGTGGCTCTTTTCCTTTCAGACATGAAGAAACTGGAGCTCAGAGAGGTTTAGTCCTTGGTCCAAGTGCAGAGGGAGCTGGGCACAGACTTGATCTTCCCTGGCATGGGGAAGATCATTCCTTAGGATGACTTGCCCCAACACCACGTCCCAGGCGCCCAGTCAGAGGAGTGGCCTGGTTGGGCAGGCTCTGCAGTCAGCAGAGAGGACTCTCAGGTCTCCTGCCTGCTGAATTAGTCACATGCCAACTCAGCGCTTCCTCACAGAAGTCCCCCAGCCCCTGCGCCAGCCCTCGCCCCTCCACCTCTGAACCCCTGAACCCAGGTGCTTGACCACCCTGCACGCACTGCCTTGGTTCCCCTACTAGCTCGTCTGTCTCCTGTAGGCAGGTGTGGCGCATGCGCTCCATAGCACCGAACACAGCGCATGCTCGGTAAGCTGTGTGTGAGCCAAGCAACCCTGGGCCAAGCTGGTGCTGGCAGAGCCCGGGCGGCCTAAACCAGAGTCTCTGCGGGTCAGGCAGCCTCCTCTGCCCCGTCTCCAGGGCTGGCAGGCTGGCCTGCTCTGAAACCAGCATACTCCAGGGCAGGCTGGATGCCAGCACCTCTGATTTACTGAGTGGTGGATGTCATGACAGCGATGATCCAAATAAGACTCACCTCGGTGGGCTCTTTGGGGTGGGAGGAATGGGGTCCAGAGGGTGAAACTGGAAACCTGGTTCTAGACCCGGGATGTGATGTTAGGTGTGAACACAAACCTCTTTGGCCATGGGCCATTTTATCCTAGGATCCCTGTTGGCCTTAACAGAGTTGTGGGGGCTTCCAACCAAATGCCAGGACCAACCAGGGCATCATAAACTGTTTTATGTACTATCATAGACCATGAGGTTAGCATGGCTTGCTCATCATGAATCTGTCTGGCACCACTTTTTTTTTTTTTTTTTTTTTGTATCAGGGATTGAACCCAGGGTTGCTTAACCTGGCTCTTTTTTCAACTTTGAGACAGGGTCTCACTAAGTTGCTTACRGCCTCACTAAGTTGCTGAGGCTGGCTTTGAACTTGAGATCCTCCTGCCTCAGTCTCCCTAGATGCTAGGATTGCAGGCATGCTTCACCATGCACGGCATGTTTTAAACATTTTTGCAAGAGGAACAACTTCTCACTTCCCCCTTCTGCTTCTGAGACGTAGCTTCCTGGGAACCTGTAGATATGGCAGCACAAGGACTGGGGGGTGAAGGCTATAAACTGAGGCTGATGCTGGGAATTGCATATTGTGGGGGTCGCCTCTCTCCAAGGTCCAGTAGGATCTTTACAGTCAAGTGACCAGGGAGTGGGAGGCAGGAAAAGAGGAGACAGAGAAAAGACTTCCTAGCAAGTCCAGGCTGACCTCCCTGAGACAACACCCACCTTCTGTCCAAAGTACAGCTTGGTGAAGGTGAAGGTCCTCAGGTGGGCACTCTTTTCCCGGATCTTGGGTTCAAGTTTCTCCCGAAACTTGTTCTCCATGATCATGCTGAGGTAGGGCCAGATCTGGGCGATGATCTGTGAGGACAGGAAGAGGCCCTTGGTGGTCAGGTATGTGCCCCTGACTAGAGACCCGCACCTGCCCAGGACGAGGTCCTGATTGTCTATAGCCCTGTCCCAGGGGTAGGGGCCCCATGGTTCCTATGCTGCAGCACCCACTCCCCTGCCTGCCCACCCATGTGTCTGCCTGTCCTCTTTCCCTCAGACATCTAATAACTACAGCCATGGTTTCCACACTTGTGCAGGCAGCAGGACCCCAAGGTTTGGGGGACATTCTGCAGAGCCCCATGGAAATACTCATCCACTAAATCTAATAACATGAAGCCCTTTAGCTCTGTGCTAAAATGTAATCTCATTCTACACCGTGGTGACACAAAGAATGAGCAGATGACAGAGGTATGGGGGAAAATATTACAGAAAAAAAAAAAAGAGTTAAACTGTTTCCCCAGGGATTTTTATTTCCAGCAGTCAGAAAAGGCAGCCTTTTTCTGATTCTGCAGAATGGCTCCTGGTGCTGGTCTAGGAACACACAGGTGGGACCAAGTTCCCCTTGAAGTCGGTACCTTATAACACCATAATGCATTCATGCATCATTTGAAAATTTCTCAGTTCCACTATAACCTTACAGAATGCCCATTGAATCTTCGGCCTTTGTCGACCAAAATGTCCTTACACAACATGTGAGTGCACTGTTAGAGCATTTAAAACTAACCTATAGACTATTTGGGCTTCACTTTTACCCCTCATGTCTCTTCCTATTCTAGCAGGAGGGAGGTGGAGATGGCAGGTGGTAGTGGTGGGGGGGGGGGCTTGGAGGGGCTGCCGGGCTATTTCCTGTTGGAGCAGCAGCCTCTCCTCCACCCTGCCTGTTGGGTTTGGGCCTTAATTTAAAGGTGGACCTCCTTCCCATGCCCCCCTTCCAAACCCATAACTGGAGGAGCTCATGAGATTTGCAGAGGACTGTTGAAAGCCCTGGTTCTTTCTGTGGGCTGGTCCCAGCTTCCTGCAGCGCTGGTCTGTCACTCTCTGGTGCCTCTGGAGTGCAGCCTAGAATGAGGTCTACCTCCCCATGGTAAGGATCAGGATGGGCCTCATCCCAATAGCCCTCTACCTCCAATGCCTCTTGAGGCCTGACCTTCAGACATGCAGCAGTCCAGGGCGTGGCTAACACACACACAGAGGACCTCTACAAGGCTTGCTCCAGAGACCCCAGGCACTGCATTAATCCACAGAAACCTTGCCTCTCCTCCAAAGGCAGAAACCTGTTCCCTCTGAATTTTACCCAGAGGCTGGGGTGGGGCGTGGGGCGAGTTTTGATGCACTCTGAAATGACATTTCTAGTAATATAAAACACCAGCCTTAGATCAACAACTATCAGGAAGTTCTTTCTTATACCCAACCTAAGTTCCTCCTGCTACTGGCTAAGTCTTCTCCCAGAACAAAGGCAAGGGCTGTATTACGTCCAGTGTCTGGAGACTTGAGGTGAGGACTGCAGTGGGCCTTCACAAGTTTGGGCAGCTCAGGTAGGAGAGGGACTCAGGTTTCTCATTTGTAAAGTGGGGCTCCTTGCAGGAAGGTTAGAAGGCAACCCTCAGAGCATCTGGCAGTAGTGCCCAAAGGAAGTCACCTAGATGATCTAACAGCAATCATAACAATGACGTCAGTGAAGGAGTAATTACTCCCATTTTATGGATAAGGAAACCAGCTCAGAGAAGTGAGTCAAACTTCTCAAGGTTGCACAGCCACCGTGATGGTGCATCTGGCCTGAAAACCAGGTGAAATCCAGAGCTGTTGTCTACCTATGTCTGCCTCTCCCTGCCAAAGTGCTGATCTTGTCAGGGAGCCGGGGAAGGGTCATACTTTTCTCTATACTATTTTCTGATGTGCCCATGTATTAATCTTAGACTTTTTCTTAAAGATAAGAAAACCATTCTGGTGAATGAAGAAAGGGGAGGTTGCTACCCCAGCAGCAGAGGGGACACCTCAGTCCTTCCAGAGCAAGGGAACTACTGGACCTGAGGTCTTTGTCCCAGCCCCACCCACCTCCCGGCTGCAGCAGGTGACAGGCTGCAGCGAGCACCAGGCGCAGGGAGTCCACCCGCCCGGCCCCGCCCACGGCCTTACCTTGTTGGCCCACTCGACCCGCTCCACATCCGGGAAGTGGATCTAGGAACAGAAGCCCCGAGGGCAGTTTAGACTGGAGCTGCGCGCCCCGCCCCGGGAACCAGGTGCGTGGCTGTGTCGCCCTGCTGTGGCCTGGCAGGTTCCCCCAGTGCACCCAGGCGCTTCCTCCCCTCCCACCTCCCCTAGGTCGCAAGGGCGCGCTCTCAGCATCCAATGGACACCCTGCCCTGGCCACTCAGGGAGGCCCTGCCTTCAGGGAGCGCACCCTCTGGTCTGGCAGGTGGTGAACCAACAGCACCTAGGCGGGCGCAGTAGAGGCTTGTTCCTGGGGCAGATGGCACGCTTGTGGGTGGCTCTAGACCTGCAGCGAGCCTGGGAGGATCCCTGCAGTTCCACCCCTCTCCTGGCCCCCAGCCCAGCCCCCAGCCCTGCCCCCAGCCTGGCGGGAAGAGGCCAGGAGCTGGGGGGCGGGGTCTGGAAACTTGTCTTTTGCATATGCAAATAAGCCCCGCCTTCCCTGCCAACACGGGACCACCCCCTCCATAACACCCAGATTTGCTCCTTGGCAAACTCTATCCTGTTACTTGTTTTAGTGACACAAGCTATACATAGTTTCTGGAGCAAAATTAAGCAATGCATGAATTAGCTAAGCAAGAGGAAAAAAGGTTTTAGGGAAAGCCATCCTCCAGGGATGACCTCCTTAAGGGGTTGACGTTTCACTGGCAACTGGGGAGGGGGTGTGGGGAGGCTTGTACTCTCTCCCTGACCTGGGTTTCCAGGAACCCCACCAAAGTTGCCCCTTCCCCAGCAGCCTCTGGTTACAGCTTCCTTCAGGGCACAAGCCCCATCCTCTCTGCCTGCGCTGTGTGGAGTCCTGAGTGAGCCCCAGTGGGGGGTGGGGGTGGGAGGGCTGAGGGGCTAGGTGGAGTGACAGCTCTGCTGGCCTTTGCATGACATGATATGGAGAGCCCTTAACCCCCTCCTTGCAGGAGTCTCAGGAGCCACATCTGTCCCCAGCTTCCCCAGGAGAGGAGGTGGTCTGAGTGTGAGTGTGCAGGGCACCTGGCCCAAAAATGTGGAGCAGGAAAATGCTGGCATTGGCAGTGCACATGGCAGTCCCCGAGCATGGGGCCAGCTGGGGATCAGACTCACCATGAGCCTGTGCCACTTCCTCTGGTGGAGAAAGGGCCTGCCCTCCCTTCCCCAAGGCCCAGAAGACAGGATCCTCTAAGTGCCAGGCTGTGGGATGGTTTGGGGATTTGCCCTGAAGGCCCACCCTCAGGACAGAGCCATGCAGTTCTCTTAGGAGCACAGTTTTTAACTGCCTTGGAAGTCAGAGAAGGTCAGAGGAGCCCAATGCTTTTCAGACTCTGGGACAGCACGCCATTTTCCCTGCCTGCTTCAGGTTCACAGCTCTGGGCAGTGGCCGGTTCTAATGGAGAGGTTAATATTCCAGGTGCTGAAGGAAAACGCTGCATGGTTCCCAGAGGGAGTTCTGCCAGGCCCATGGGAACGATGGGGGACGGAACTGGGAGAGCAGTGGGCAGCAGCTCAGGTCAGCCGGCCAGCTCAGATGGGAGAAGTCGCCTGTCACCATACATTCCCTGTGGCCATCCTAGGTCAGCTCCCAAGCTGGGAGCTGGGCAAGTGGAAGGAGAGACCCTTTCGTTGCTGCCCAGAGGCCTCGAGATGGGCTTCAGCTCATGACTTCTTTCTAGGACTTACCCTCATCCAGCCACCTGACCTTTCCAGTCCCCACCAAGGGCTGCACATGCCATTCCATCTCTGAACCCATTCCCAGCTCCCCTCTGACTGCTTCATTCATTGCCCTCTCAGACCTCACATCCTCCGGGGGGCCTCTCCAGGTCTCCTAAGTGGAGGACAGGTGTCCCTCTAGGGTCTGCTGGTTCTCCATCACACACTTAGTACACCTTATTAGTGGCACTTGGTGTTACTGCCCTGTCCCTTCTAGATGGAAAGTGCTAGAAGGGCTGATGGGTCCCCCAGGTACAGCAGCACGTGAATGCACACTTGTGGGCTGATGGGATGTAGGAATGAATGAATGTCCCCCAAGAGCTCCCAGGCTGGTGCAGGGGGCAAGCAGTGAACAGCCCTCTGGGGCTTAGGATCAGACCACCAGGAGGGAGGGCCAGCCTGACCCTTGCTGGCATCTTCCATCTCAAGCCTCTGCCCTTCCCATCCTGGCCAGGGCACAGCTGAGCTTCCTACCCTTGMGCATCCCCAGCCCAGGCAGCTCTGCTCCCTTGGGGGCTGGTGATCCTGCCCGGCAGGTCCAACACTGGGCACTGGGAGCTGGTAGGGTGAAGATTCCTGAGCCGCCTCCTGAATCAGAGCATATTGGGGTGGGGCCCTCCAAATTATTTTAAACAAGCTCCTGGCATGGTTCTGGAACCCGGTCAGGGCTGCTTGGGAGGCATCCCTGACCAGCCCACCCCTTGYATTCAGGTGACCCACACCCACCCCAAAAAGTGTGGGCAGCAACAGGATGATCAGGCCTACGATGAAATTTTCATGATCCCTCTGCTCCCTGCGCCTGTATGTGAGGTTCCTCACTTAGAGGATCTCCATAGACAAATCTGAACCCCTTGAAAAAGGGCAGGCATTCAGTCCAAGAAAATAAGAGACCTTCAAGGCACCCCTTTCTGCCACATGCCCTTGGAGGCTCCCTTTGCCTGAATCTCAGTGTCTGTCTTCCCCCCTCAGTGAGTGACACCAAGGATCCAACAATGTTCTTGTGACTGTCTCCAGGTAAGTCTGGAGCAGAGACTGACACCTGGTTATACTCAATGTACTGCCACTTTGACACAGACAGATCTATCTCATTTTCCAGCACAACTTGTCTCTCTTGGACCTTGCTAAAGAAACCTTTTCTCCACCCCCAAATTCTCAGAGTTATCCTAAGTTTTTATCTATGAGCGTTCACGCTCAGATCTCCCTGGAATTTTTCGTAGGGGTGAGATAAGATGATTTTCTCTCCCTCAATACTTCCCCAAAGGCAATTTTCCACCAACATATAACAACAACAACAAAAATCCATCTTTCCCTGGCTGATGAAGCTACTTCACTCAAAAGCCAGCCTCTCCTATGTACTCTGGTGTGTTTCTGAACTTAGTGTTCAACTACACCAGTCTGTTTGCCTGTTCCTGTGCCAGTACCACAGTGTTTTTATCACTGTTTTTACAAAGTGACCCGAGGCAAGGTGATTCCCTTTTTTGTTTTTCTTTTTTAAACTCATTTGGATAATAATACATGTGTTATTGAGTTTTGCATTACTGTGACAAAATACCTGAGAAAATCGGCGTATAAGGAGGAAAGATTTGTTTTGGCTCATGGTTTTAGAGGTTTTAGTCTTTGCTTCTTGGCCCTGTAGTGAGGCAGAACATCATAGCAGGAGCACTTGGTAGAGTAAGATGCTCGGTCCATAACAAAGAGAAAAAGAGGAAGGAGCTGGGCCCCTAATATCACCTTCCCAGGTCATGACACCAATGACTTAACTGCCTTCTACTAAGCCTTACCTTCTACAGGTTTTACCACCTCTCAGGAGTGCCACAGGATGGGCATACTTCAATACATAGGCGTCTGGGGGACATTTAAGATTTAAACTCTAGCATTAGAGATACTTCTTCCATATGAACACTGACGCATTTATAACATGAGGTTTTATATCCATGAACAGAATATTCCTTTATTCAGATTTTATTGTATTCCTAAACTTTTTCTATTAAAGCCCTGCACATTTTTGTTAGATCACTTTGGGGTTTTTATAGTTATTAAAAATAGTTCTTGACTTTCTGAGCAACTTCGACAAAATGTGTTAATAGTTCTAATTGTTCCTTGATCCTCCTTGGTTATGTATGGACATCTGTCATCTGCAAATAATAATGGTCTCTTTTGCTCTCTGTCCTTTTCCTTATTTTTTCTTGCTGGACTTCATTAGCCGGGACTTCTGATGTTATGCTAATCAGCAGTGGTGACAGTAAGTGTGTCTTCTTGGCTCCTGACCCTCAAGGGACGCTCCTCAGGTTTCGCTGTGAAGCATTTTTCCTGTAGATTTTGGAGGACCGTGCCTGTCAGATTGAGGAAGTTCTTTTTAATTCCCGTTTGCTCAAGAGCTTTCCTCATAAATGGGCATTGAACTAGGTTCAGTGTGTTCTTGAGCCCACTGACATGGCCATGACCTGTCCCCCATAATCCATTAATGTGGTCAACTTCAGTGACGGCTCCTCCTAAGGCAGAACCAGCTCCAGTTCTTGGGATAATCCCTCTTACCCCAATATATTTATTTAGCTTGAAACTTAGGTTGTATACACCTGTGATTCAAAGTGGTCCCTAAAATTTTCATTCCTAAACAATTCATATCAGATTTGGGGTATAAAGATTTTATAATAACTTATAAATGTAGAAATTATATAAAGTTTACTACTTCTTACCTATAAAACCTTCTTGGCTGAGGATTTTGGGGGTAGTCAATTACCATATCATCACTAAATACCATTAGTACCTTATGGTGTTTTTKCGAGGTCTATTTATATTTTATTGTAGTAATTTGGGCAGTTGTATTTTTCTAGAAATGTATCCACATTTTCAAATTTTGTTGCTATATAGTTTATAATATTTTGTTATTTCTAATCTATCATATCTGTAGTTATTACTTTTTTTCATTCAATATTTTATTTTTAAAAATAAGTATTCTTAATTTTTAAAAATGAATTTTAAAAAATTCTTTTAAATTTTGCTGTTCTTGTTGCAAACTGTCTTGCCAATGGTTTTGCTTTCACAGAGGACTAGCTTTTGTTATTTTTTCCCTTTATTTAAAAAATATTATTCATTTTCATCTTCATATTTATTATTCCTTATTTCTTTAAATCTGTTGCTCTTTTATGGATTTTAGAGTTGAGCTTCATGAGTCAGAGTTGAATCATGTTTTTAATTTTTCTTTTTTTATGATAGATTCAAAAAAGTTACAAATTCCCCTACAGTTGTCGACATTATATTGTGTTATTCTGCTCTCGTTTTTTTTT